ACACACTACACTACACACACAGCACACACACACATAATATATATATATAATATATATATATATATAATATTATAGCATATTATACTAATAATATATATATATATACTATATGTATATATAATATACTATATATATATATATATATATATATATATTATATATATCATATAATGTATATATATATATATATATATATATATATATATATATATAATATATATATATATATATATATATTATGTAAACATAAAATATCAAAGAGAAATATAATATCAAAGATATATATATATATATATATATATAATATATAATATATAATATATATATATATATATATACTATATAAAATGTTAAAACATAAAACTCTATACGAGTTCGCATTACTCCAAGAAAAATACCAAGATCATTAAAAAAAACAATATATCTCTCCCAACGTGCTTAATCCACACTCACTAATAATAACATCCGTGTCAGCGATCGAACACGAAATGCCAGACGAGACAGGTCACAGAAACCCAAAGAACTGTTGACGATAATCGCGTTCACTCTGTGTAATCGGAGCGGACTGTATTCGAAGGTCAATGTCATCCTCGAAATAGCTGTACCCAAAACAGCTGTACCCAAATACTGTACATTCCCTCGATGTGTGAGGATCGGGGAAGTATGGTGAGGAAGTGCAGCTGACGTCACGGGAAACAGAAATGTGTGGGGTAATTGGCGTGAGAACTCTGGGCTGAGCGTGGAGGAGAGGGGTGGAGTAGAGAGAGAGATAGAAGATTAGATAGATAGAGGGAGGGGAGGAGAGGAGGGAGGGAAGAGAGAGAGAGAGAGGAGAGAGAGAATAGAGAGAAGAGAGAGAGAGAGAAGAGAGAGAGAGAGAGAGAGAGAGAGAGAGAGAGAGAGAGAGAGAGAGAGAGAGATTGATTGATTGATTGATTTTTTTTATTGCCAAAATAATATACATACATAGGGTTGGTACATGTTTATATTGCAGCACAATAGTCAGCTGAGCTAAGGCTCTCTAGCTGACATTATAAAGTTAACAATGGAGTACAGTGAAATGTTCTTACTTAAATAATATCACAGATGAAATGACTCTGTATTTAAAGTACATTATAAAATAAATGTATTAAGCTAGGAGGTTGAAGGTCACAAACGGATGCACATTATATCTTCATACATACAGTGTGGTATGATGTATCTTTTTATATACCTATTACAACACGTACAGATTATAAATAATTATAAGATTTACATTTTACACATATATCATGTTCATGTCATACATAAATAAGTCACATATATGCTATACGATTATAGTATACCATGGCATGATGATTTAAAACAGCATTGCTTTGCCACTAGGAAGAAAGTACGGTATTGGACTAGTATTCTTTGGTTAGCTCTTGCTTCATCGCACGTTTGAAGTGATACACAGTTGGAGACTGCCTTAGTACGTAATCTAAGGAATTCCACATTTTTGATCAGAGAGAGAGAGAGAGAGAGAGAGAGAGAGAGAGAGAGAGAGAGAGAGAGAGAGAGAGAGAGAGAGAGAGAGAGAGAGAGAGAGAGAGAGAGAGAGAGAGAGAGAGAGAGAGAGAGAGAGAGAGAGAGAGAGAGAAATAAAAGAAAAAAGAGAAAGAGAATGAGAACGAGAGAAAAAGTGGAAGAGAGGACAGACGGGTAGACAAACAGACAAAGAAAAAGATGGGGTTTAAGAGAAAGGTAGTGTAATACAATAGCTACAGCTGATTTTACTGAAACTGATTGTGTACATAAGAGATAAACAGAACTGAATATAGAGAGAAACAGTTTCAGTGAAAGGTGAAATAATTCCCACATTTAGAAATCAAATAAATATAAGAACCTAAAGGAAGGGGTTATAATCTTAGTTATTGCCACCACTTTTTGACAAAGAACTCGTTTTGAAGACAGATGAGCTCAATAAACTTTACTGAAGGAAATGTCAAATGTAGGTTTCCCTTAAAATCAGAAATTCAGAGAGATTTAGCAAGTATAATTCAATAGATTAAACATGACCAGCTGATTAAAACATCATGACCATCTTAGCCACTTATTAATCACATGAACATGATATATCAATAAAACCCTGTAAATGCAGTTTCGTGATTTTTTTTTACCTGAAGACGTTTTCCATTACTTTTCGTACACAGGGGTTGTGTTTTCTTACTGCTAGCTGATCACACCTTAGTGGAATAATTCTGAAAGTTTAATGATTTGTGAAAATATATCAAGACCAGTTCCTCGTGAATCGATTCTCGTCACACGAGGCAGACTCTAATGTATTCGATAAGAATATAAAATTAGTAAGAGAGTGAAAGAAAGAGCGGCAAAGAGGAAGAGATAAGAGTTAATGAAAAAGACTGTGAAAGAGGAAGAGAGAGAGAGAGAGAGAAAGAGAGAGAGAGAGAGAGAGAGAGAGAGAGAGAGAGAGAGAGAGAGAGAGAGAGAGAGAGAGAGAGAGGAGAGAGAGAGAGCA